TTTTTACACATATCTAGAATCCTCCACACAACTCTAGACAACTCCGGAAGACTCTAGAAACTCCACTCGCCATGCAGTTGCCATGCAGCTTTCTACTCAACGTATGCGTGTCGCTTGCGTGGCCTAACCTCCATAGGCGGGGCGTGACAATGTGCTTGCTCCCAAGTCTCAACACAAAATTGTAAGTTGCAAAAATTAAGTTTTGGGATATGGTGGAATTGAAGGATGAACATTTGAGAATGAACTTTAGAGCATTCGACATGAAGAGTCAATTTTAGTCATCCACATTTGTAAATATAAATAGCCACATCACCTATTGAGTTGATGCAACTCTCTAAATTTTTATTGTCACCTTAGACAATAGAATACTTATATTGTATGGTGAATTACTCTGACCTCCCTTGAAATTTGTCCAAATATATCTCAGCTGAAACTATTGTCAAAATAACCTCTGTCTTCTCTAAGATTTGCCCTAATATCTCTCAGTTAAAACTAATTTTGAAATAGTCTCCAAACCTCCCCTGAGATTTGTCAAAGTAACCCCTAACACCTATTGAGGTTTGTCTAAATTTCTCTTACCACCCCTAAAGTTAATCAAAGAATTTTTTTCTAAATGCCAAAACTACCATTAAGACAGAAAAAATGACCTTATTAGAAAAACAAATGACCGTCTCAACTAAATTTAACTGCACAAAACTACCATTTCTTATATCTACCCTTTTGTATTGTTTTTGTAGTTAAAAAATAAATAAAATTTTGGGCAGTTGAAGACAAATAATAATAATAATAATAATATATATTTTTATTTTGAACAAGTGGTTTATTGATGAATCAAATGTTGATTTATTATTAGCCAATGTCTATTTTGTTGAATTATATGAATTCTTTGTTGAATATTTTATTTTGACAGCGGATATGTTAAATTATATGTTGAAATGATTATTTCGTATATTAATAAGGTCATTTGAGTTATTTTCTCTCGCTTAGTGGTAGTTTGTATATTTATAAAATATTCCATTTTGAGACTTAACTCTAATTAACATTAGGGTTGGTCATAGAAATTTTGACAAACCTTAATGGGTATTAGAGGTTATTTTGACAATGTTTCAACTGAGAGATATTTGGATAAAACTAGGTCAAGGTATTTCACCTTGTCTTATATTTTAAATTGAGTTTAAAGAGAAAAAGAGGCAAGAGAGTGGAGATAAAGGGAAGTGGGGCCCGCCATGTGGCAAGCCCCACACCACCATATTTTGTTGACTAGGGCTCTATTTGTTTCACCATAAAATATTTTTTGAAAATAATTTTTCACATTTTTCGGTAATTAAAAAACTCCAAAGTTAGAAAATTATTTTCCATGTAAATCATTTTTTACCCCAAAATGACTGAAAATGATTTACCAAAAAAGTTTCGTAAATCATTTTCCCCAACCTATCTTGGGTCATCTAACCATTCGTATCCTTATTGAACCCCTATGTTCCTCTAACAGCTAATCTTTTGCGGTCATTCTAATCTAAAATTTTAATCTTGAGTCTTCTCTTTCTGTATGTATAGATAGAGTGAGAGGATATAGAAAAAGGGAGACAAATTTGGGTTGGTCGAGGAACAGATTTGGGTCGAGAGTATATTTTGGTATAGAGAGAGTGGAGAGAGAAAGTAACGAGAAAGCGAATGAGGGATGGTTTAGAGAGAGAGGGAGATGGTTTAGGGGGTAATATTCCATGTTGGCAAAGAACACTAAGAAAGAAAGAGATAATTGTGGGTACTATATCGTGTTGGTGAGGAACACTGAAGAAAGAGAGAGTTAATTATGCATAAAAGTTGATTTAGAAAATATTTTAAGAACAATTAACAAACACCGAAAAATAAAAAATAAAAAATATATATTTTACATATAAATACAAAGAAATATGTTTTAGACGGAGCCTAACAAAAAAATTCTCATAAAAGAAGTTGTTACCGTGAATATTATTTCTAGACAAGTCAGGTTTGTGCAGATATTTTTCGCAAAAGTTTAGAAAGTCAAAATCGACTTATATATATCAATTTCTCAAAAAGTTAATTAATTGAAGAAAAAACAAGACATATAAGGCCATGAACAAATAGTTTAGTAAACGTACCCACTCTACAAAAAGAATAAACATCTTTTACTTGGAATAAATATTTATTTTCTTTCAATTGTGAAGGGCATAAAAAGATCAAAGAATGTATATTCCTTTTTTTTTTCCTTTCCCGAATGACCTAAAAGATTGAACAACTATGGCGTAAAAGAAATAACTTTTTTTTTGTTTGTTCTTTTTGCCTTAGACAAAATAATAACAATAATAATAATAATAAATATAATGGGGAACTCGGCAATTCTTTAACTAATAAATTGAGTACAAGATTGAAGAAGAAAAACCATGTCACACTGCTCGTGATGCAAAAAGGAAAGTTTTTTTTTTTTAAAAAAGGAAAGTTAAACTAATAGACAACATGTACGATGTACCCACTCCCAAAAAAAACACACACGCATTGTTGGTGATTTGTCGTTTTTGGCATAGATCTGCGGAATATACCAGTTAGATTGTTGTGGAGTTCACAGTACTAACCCACCACTTTTATTTATTTCTTTCTTTATTTAATGCCCTCATTTTAAATTGCCATTAAGAAAATATATACAATACTGTCGTAGTGTCTGTATTGTTGGAGCATCATATTTTTCGACACGCATGACAACTATGTTTCGACTAACCAAACCATTCACGTTGATCTCACCGAACCACTTGATTGAAAATATGTCTAGACTATTTTGTCCACACATTGCATGGTGTTATTGTGATTTTTACACGTAAGAGGACATATCAAAATGTGAATGGGTATGCTTTCAGCATAGCATTTTCTCTAAATACAGCAGAGCATTTTCTATAATTACGGTACAACGCATACCATAAGATAAATAATGTCTAGGCAGATCGGAACTGACATTTCACAGCTAGTTTGAGCTATATTTTTTGCATACATGTCGTATTTATGAATTAGTTGTCATAGATTTGGTCTAGATTTGCATACACTTCGTAAATTCTTTATTTAATACAATTTGCATACATATATATAGTATTTATATCACAGAGAGAAGTTTTGGCCCCATGATGAGTAAATGAGCTTGCAACCGCAGTGATCTGATAAATTATTCAGTGGACCATCCAAACCTTTGTGAGCCTAGCATATCAATCTTGTGGTGTTCTTGGTCAAACTCTCAAATCTCAGTAAGTAAAAAAAATCAATACAGTCAATGAACATCTGAATCTACTTTTTTTAGAAAAAAAACTGAGTATTCGAACTCTTTTGGAAATAATATTAAAGGTGTGCAAGCATTTATTTGAATGTTAAATAAAAAGGGGAGAATTTTTTTTTTTTGTTGAGACCAAAATTGAGTAGACCAAATTTTTTTTTTATTGATATTTGAATATTTCATCCCTCAAGTTTGTAGATGATAATTCATGATGATAATGAGATCGTTCCACGTATGTCAAAAATGCTGAGATGAGTGTCTAAATGGGAAGCCAAGCTATACGAGGGATCCTCCTTGTAAAGGAGGTAAGGCAAGCATGTAGGAATTTGGGTAGCTCGAGCTCAAGAACTACTACTATCCGTCGTCATTTTTTTGGTTCCCTTTCCTAGCCAAATATTGCTCTATTTATGCTGTTTGCTCAGGCGGTTAAAGACCACTTGTCCAAAGGGTAAACTTTGTTTACCTTGCGGTTCATAGGCTTTACCCTTTGATAGGTTGGGCCTCAGCAGGTGGCCTAAACCGACGCGTGCTTTTAACTCGAGTCCTTATTGTATGAGGGTTGCTCGAGGCGAGAGAACCCCTTTGATGAATAGTTAAAAAGACATGTCTTCTGTAGCAGAGGAAATTGTACATGAAGTGAAATTAATTAGCGAAACCCATCCGATTGGAGTAGGGCATTGCCTCAGGAGGGTGGAGTGTAGCGACCTCTTGCCCTGCCAAATCAATATTATTCAAAGACCTATTAGATCGAGACTACTGGTACTGCCAGGGTAGTGCCCACTAGGATTATATATGGGTCCTATCAGAATTGGGCGTGTGTCCCTCTTTTTTTTTCTTTTTTTTTTTTTTGTGTATGATGCCGCGAGCTATGAAATGGCATGACCCCTACAAAGTTCTTGGACAGAATCCCGCGCGACAATAGCACGATGCTGTATTGCACTAGACTATTGCTCACACAAAGGCACATCGTGCCTTATGACTGCTAACACTTGCAGCATGTAAACAATTACAATTGTTAATGTGAGTCATCAGAGTCCCGTTCCTACTTGTGTTATGTCAGGACGACTCAGATGTGTCTCAGATGTGTTTAGTACATGGTACATCATGCACACCGAATACCATTTTCACCGCAGAGAATGTGGACTCGTGGGATATATCCATGAGCATTCACACCTGGCAAACTAACACAATTGTTTTTGGTGTGAGTGCAACACGAGAATTGAACAACCAAATACAAGGGTGAGTGTGCGTAGGCAGTGACACACTGTGACTGACTGGAGAAAGAATAAAATAGTATCACATCCTCACAAGGCAAGTGGGCAACACCATCCAAACAATTGGAATGGATTGGTCCCACCCGTAGTTTTATAATGTTATTTTTCATTTTCCCACCTGTAGTTTTCATATGCTAAAAGAATGTGTTGCATAGTCACTCTTAATAGGCATATTGGAGTGTTTCTCACGCAATCATAAGAGCGCGTGAGTCCATCACTCAACCACTGACAACAATCGGAAAACTTTCTAGTTATTTAGCATTGATTTTTACAACATAAGTCGGCGGAGTAAAAATAGCCCTAATCTTAGGTGGCCACGTATCTAATTTTGGGACGAAATGTTGAAAATTTCCACGTGTCTTGTTTGGGTTGGTTTCTAATTGTTAGTGGAGAGATCGTGGGTGCACTGAATCCAACCTAGCTGCAACTTGGGTTAAAGCTGATGAGGTGTGGAGTCCGGGAGCCAGAGGGGGGTTTCTGAGGTTTTCCTTCCATCTCCTCGTTGTTGCAATAAACACAAGCTGCATAAGTAGAGAGAGAAACAGAGTTCTAGAGAGAGAAACAGAGAGAGGGAGCATATTTCGATATATATATATAGAGAGAGAGAGAGAGAGAGAGATGGAGGAGGAAGAGAACGGGGAGGAGGAAGTGCTGGGGTCGAGCTTGACAATGGAGAAGGTGGCTGCTGCGAAGCAGTTCATTGAGAACCACTACAGAGCTCAGATGAAGAACATTCAAGAGCGGAAAGAGAGGTATATTTGAAACATAAGCTAAATTGTTTTTATTTCTATCAACATTTTTTGTGCTATAAGATCTATTTTTTAAATTGATCTTCCATTTTACTGTGATTGGATGGTGAGAGAACTCTGGAAAAGAAATTGAATTGACCTATATGTCTTTTGCTTTTGTTATCTGAGATTTTGGTCTAGTCAAGGTGAGTTTGACACTTTATGGAATAACATGTAACACTACATTTCTGTCATTCTTGCTGATGCTATCCACATTTTAATCCTGTGATATTTAGTAGTCTTTGTTCTATATAGACAAAGGTTTACAGGGGAACTGTTTTTTCAACTGGGTTAACTAAAGAGGATAACGTTCCTAAAGTATGGATTTAGCACTAGGGGTATCATATGGCTGAATTTTAAAATTTTGAACTTCTAGGGCAACTGTTCCGAAGTGGGGGAGATTGGGGTTTATTGTAGTTGAAGGAAGACATATGATGGAACTAATGTGTATGGAAATTTTCGAGGATCTGGTAGAGAAAGGAGCATGCCTCCTTAAAATGATGAAGAGCTGGCAGAGAGAAAAAGGTTCTGTATGCAAAGGTCCAGAATAAAAAGCACCTATGATCTGAAATTTAAAGCTGTAAGAGAGCTTTAAGGGGGATTTCCCTAAAAAGGAGGGAATCTAATAAAAAAAAAAATTAAAGAACAAAGAAAGAAACAATGAATCAAGCACATCGTTGGATCTCATCAAAACTGGAGGATTCTCATATGAAAGTGTAGTGAAGAGTTATCTGTAACACAAAAGAGGGAGCTACCACCAGCCATTGGCTCAGGTGGCATGATCTACTAAGGGATGGTGGGTGGTTTGAGCCCCACAAATGACTTTATAGCATCAACCCTAGTAATATTGAATATAGGCAAAATTATATTAAATGAAATACAACTAATGAAACAATTCAAGGAAAAGCCAAAGGAATTTTAATGCAGCTGGAGTCCATTAATTAAAGGACAATAAATCAGGAAAGTACAGATGAAGCTTGCCCAATGATGAAAATGGAATTGTTTGTGGCTGTCCTACACACATTAGGGAGAATTGTACTTTTTTTAAAAGTACATTTTATGGAGTATGGATTTCACAAAGTCAAGAAATGAAATGCAAGTGCTGAGCAGTCTATCTTCATTGCTCCTGCATTATGCTGTTACACATTGGTTTTGGATGCTCACTTGCTCAAGAATTTTTGGAGTGAAGGTGGTCTAGCCTATTTAATGTTGTGGCCTATGACATGCTTGCCCTAGTTAATTAGTCTTCTACTTTATGCGAGTTTGTCTTAAGTTGATGATTTCTTGGAATGTGTACGATGCTACATATGGAGCTGATCCATGAAGTTAAGAGGCTTGGGATTCTTCTCAGTTGGTAATCAACATCCTGGGATTCTTCTCAGTTGGTAATCTACATCTTGTGAAGGTTTTGTACAATGTGCACAACTATGACATTTTTTTGATAAATTCATGTATTTTCTTGTTTATGTGAGTGCAACACGAGTTCAACTTCCACCGTGAGGGTGTGTGGTGCAGTGGTACCTATCTTGATAAGGCAAGTGGGTAACATCTTTAATCAATTGGACTGATGGGGTCGTCGATCATAGTTTTCATGTTCAAAGGCATGTTAAATTTCACTTTATTTTCTTTTGGAGACATTCTCTATGTCCATGCTACTGAATGCTTTTCATAGGATGTATAATCACGATCCAGTCCATCACTCAACCATTGACAATGACTGAAAAACTGTATAAGTTGTCACGTGTCATGAAACTGATTTACTAATGATATCGATAAATCATCAGGTTGGTAGATTTGAAACTTTTGGCATTATAGATATATGATCCCACCATTTTACTTATTGTCGAGGTGGCAGCTTACATGACATTTCCAGCCACACGTGGTATCATGACAAAGATCCATATGTCAGTCATGCAGTTCAAGAGATCATGTTTTCCAAAGGGATGATTTTTAGATCTCTATTTGTCACGTGGTCACAGTTCCACAGGACAAGCAATTCCCTTGAGGACACGACAGTATCAGATCACAAGCTCCAAACATGTTAGTCCCATTGTAAATTCATATAGTATCGATTACTTGCCAAAAAAAAAAAAAAAAATCAATTCACATAATACCAACACTTTAAACTTCCAAAAATGGGTAAAAAAGCAAAAGTATCATTATTACCATGCACTACGTCCAACTGACATCTTTCTAAGTGTGTGGTTGGCTTTGACCATCTCAAACCACTTAATACTGCTAAGCCAACAATTTTGCATTTGCACCCATATCTTCACCAGATTAGACTGTGCAGTCCTTTTCTACAATTGCCTCTGCTTTGCTCGTCAACTCCAAGATGTTAATGGGAGGAAAAACTTATCCAAGTACCCTATAGATAGAGGAAGGGTCACAATGAGAAGAAATAGAAAAAGACGCCTCCAATAACCATGTTCATAATTACAAGGCGATGCCTATAAACAATACCATATAGCTATATTAATGGTTATTAGGTAACTGGAAAGTGAAGCATGCTTTATTGGGCACAACATCACTGCAAAGGTTCACATGTCAATCCTGCAGTTCGACACATGATATTCTCCAAGTTAAGTAATCTCAAATCCCTAAATGACGCGTTGGCACAAAAGAGTCTAAGACATGTGACTCCCTTAAGAAATGGCATGTGTTGGATCTCCACGAAGCTCCAAACACATCCGTCTCTCTTTTTTTTTTGATACGTTCCAAACACATCAGTCTCATGGTGCCACCACCTCACACTTCGATAAACGAGCACAACAGCGAGAATATCATTGTCCCAACTAACTACTATGGCCAATTAACATCTTTTCGGCCGCCCATTTCTCTCTTGGATATCTCGCACCACACATTCTATGGTTGTTTCAACATTCTTAGCTGCATGGTGTCATATCTCTACTACATTATACTCTGCATTTTTTAGCTGCGCATTTAGTTTCTTCCAATAATCTCGATCTTGCTTTGCCCTATGCAATAAAGTCACCTAAACACATTGTACTTTGATACACTTCATACATTGTCAAGGAAGGTTGAAGTTGGACATATGGCGTTCCTAGGGACTGGTGCAAGGGATAATAATCCCTTCTTGCGGTTACACAATGGTTTCATTGGGAGTTTAGGATTATTTGGCTTAGTGGCTTAAGTTTAGTATTCATTGAGTTGTCCTGTGTCCATATCATGGTCCATAATTCGACCTATTTTAAATATGTAGATATTGTTAGGGGTGGCAATTCGTATTAACAGGTCATGTTTGTGTTGTATCAAGATAGAAGGTATTTGTTATATGTGTCAAACCGAACACAAATCTTTTATTGCTTCTTGACACGAAGACGGCCTTATTATTAAACAAGGTACATGATACGACCAAGGTAACTTGTTTAATAAACGGTCATGTAATCTGTGACATGAGATAACACTCTTAACAATCCATGTACTATCTTTTATTAATTATAGAATGCAAGCATAACAAAAAATTAAAACACTGAATGAAAAGTTATGGAATGACTAGATCTTTTATTTGTCTCGATAAACCACACAATTAACTTACTTGGGGTTGACTATAATAACGTGAATTGAGAAAAATATCTATATTAAATTTAAACATTTTACTTGAAAGGTGTGATTCATGACATATTTAATTAAACGAGTTAGAGTTTCCAAACCAAAGCATGACTTGTTTATTTCAGCGGCTTAATCAGGTTGATATGATTATGACACGAACATTATCGAGGTCAACCTAAACCTGCTAATTTCACATTGGGATCGAGTCATATTTAGTGTCCCCTAAATCTTCTGTGACTTTCAAAAACATATGCCATAATGGATTGTGCTTGACTGCCTCTCATTAGACTACCTAACCATGTCCAATGGAGTGACTAATGCACATGGCAGCATCTCATTGAATCACATTTAGGAAACTTGACCATCCCATTGCTACCCTACTAGCACCAGGATGCTGCTCTACCTTGTCCTGTTGGACCACCTGAGTACATGTGACAGCACCCTTTCCTGGTATTTCCGTCCCAGCTATTTTATTTATTTATTCCTGTTTTGGCCTGTGTAACATACCCTTAGGGTGTGTTCGGCTACATGGAATTGGAGCCTTGGAATTGGAATTGGAATTGGAATTGGTGGAATTTGAGAAAAACAACTAAGATAATTGAACTAAAATTTTCTCAAATTCCATCAATTCCAATTCCAAGGCTCCAATTCTATGTAGCCGAACACACCCTTAGTGTACATTTTTGCTAACTTTACTAGTAAGTAGTAACTTCCCATATTTATGTTACGTAAAGGCGTGTCTGTAGGGAATATGCTTAAGAGAACAAACAATATAAACTAAAACTCCAATAGGTTATAAAATCATTTTCTGATTTTCTGCATTTATATATCTTGATTATTGTGATTTTATTACAATTGTTTTGATTCGTCTTTAAATCAGTAAAGCGCACACGCTTATTGCGAATCTTTTATAGTGTGGTAAACCTGGGATGCTATCAGTCCAGTGCTATTCTACTTTGTTTAGAACTTTAGATCCTCAAACGAAATTGTTGGATTGAATCATAAGTTGTATGTCATTTTTGTTATATTGCTTTCTTCATGTTTATGTGCTTCAATCACTTCTTTACTCTGTTGCGGAACTTTGTTCAAAGCTGCAGAGTTCGATATTGTTAATTACTCACATAATATTCTTTAAATTTCAGGCGTTGGGTGTTAGAAAGAAAGTTAGCTTCTTCAGATGTCTCTAAGGAGGAACAGATTAATCTGATCAAGGATTTAGAACGAAAAGAGACAGAATTTATGCGACTTAAAAGGCACAAGATATGTGTTGACGATTTTGAGCATTTGACCATCATCGGAAGAGGAGCCTTTGGTGAGGTAAGATATATTTGGGACGTACTTGAAATCATCATCATATGAACGTAACGCACGTTTCACTAATTTATTTATTTATTAATTTATTTTTTGTATGAACACTGGACGGGAAATTGGAGAAACTAAATATAAAGTGTAGTTGTTTGGTAACAGCACTTTATCATTACATGTTTTTGTTCCACTATTTACCGAAGAAATTTGATCCAAATATCATGTTTTATAAAATATTAATTTTCTTATTTCTCTCCTCCTAGCTTCTCCACATTTTATTTTATGGATTTCAAATGCCCTTTTAACCATGAAGCATTCAAATTTATATAATGCTCTTAATTGACTTCCTATTGTGGGATCATATATTTATATGTGCAAGTAATTTTCTCACCAACGAGTCCATCCAGTTGCAATGAGCAATATCTCATCTACCCAAAACCAAGACATGATGAAATGAAATCATGATTGCTCAATCTTCAATGATATTTTGAGGTGTCTCCATCAGCCTCCATGTTTTCGTTCAATATGGAACTGAAAAGTGGATACATTTTGCAATTGTGTTACGAATTGGTGCATGCCTTACCTATTGGTGCACAACAATCTACCAACTTATTGAATGGTGCATATAGCGCTGAATTTTCATATTTTAAACACATTAAGTCTTTAAAAGTGTCACAAGCATCTAAGGCATTATCTTAAATCTCCATCATTACCAAGGTTCATTATTGGTCGAATCTATCTATCTATCAATTTAGGTCCTCTATGTCTCATTCACCTCACCTGAAGTGTTATTGAATCTTTGGAGAATTGCCGCTAAGTCTTATTAATTTTCAATAAGACTAATAAGTCTTACTTTTGGTAAATATTTCCATTTTAGTTCTAAATATGTTGCAGTTTTACCTTTTTTGTGATTTTAACTTTTCCCTTTATGTTTTTAGTTCATAAAAAAACTTTTTTTTTTTTTGAAAATTAAAATTTATTTTATATTCTTTATAAAACATTACATTTTGAATTTAAATTGTGTAGAATTTACATGCTATGACTTTACATAAAAACTAAAAAAAATCTATAAATATTATTTTTCTTTTTATTTAGAAAATTTGAATAATTGTCTGTACTTTTAAGAAAGTAGGCTAATTCATTAACAATTAAAAATTAATAAATGAAAAAAAAAAAAAAAAAAAACTACCAATTGCTAAAATAGGAAAAATTGAACATTTTCAATTAGTTAAAAAAAGGATTACATATCAATTTTTGAATAGAAATTATATTTACAAAATTGTACTTCTAATTTGGTAAGTGTATAGATGGAAAGATTAGGTGGTTTAGAACTTAAACATAAAAAGATTTTGAAATTAACTTATTGGTCTTACTGAAATTTGATGGCTCTTATTGTTCTTTAAATGGGAAAAGAAGAACTTATCTGTAAATTTTCCTTGAATAAGCAACCATATTGATATTTACCGGAATCCATCGCCACCTTCAACTCTTCACCTGGACCATGCTACATCCTTGATAAGCTGACTTGACAACTTTGAAAGACATTCTATTCAACTTTAAATATTCTTGTGAAAATCTGGCCAGAATCCACGGCCATACCAGCACCTTCTGGAAGGTTCCCTAGTACCTTATGAACTGCTGTGAAAAGCTTGGTTTGAAGATATTTATACTTCTTTTCAGATACAGAAATATCTTAAACCTGAGTTAAGTAGCTCTTGTTCTTGGCTGCTAGATGAGGAGCTGGTTAGAGAGATGATAAATCCTCCCCCTAGGATGGTAGCTTCTATTCCTTGATTGCCCTGTAAGTTAAATAAGGGATTCTAATGCTTTTTGAAGCCAAATAAGTAACTCTTATGTCACAAATTTGTCAAAGCACTGATACAATTTCTAACAACCTCTCCATTTGGCAATTAGGTGCCAAAACACAAATTAGTTTAAAGAATGATTCCTCTTGGCTGCAAATACCAACTCACTCTCACATGTACTTGACGAACCAATAAAATGACACAAGGGCCCGAGGACACAGAGTCATTATCTTGCATATTGTTGAAGCACCTGCGTGGCCTTACCTGTACAATCAAACAAAACAGAGCAGTTTCTACCATGAAAGAATATGTACAATTAAAAGTGGAAGTGGTCAGTAAGGACGCAATACTCCATTTGACTTGACTCAACTCTCCCTCAATTTTTTACCTATCTCCCTTTCTTGGTCCCAAGAAGACAAAAGTTTGAAAGAAAGAGTGAAATGAGGAAATACTTTTAGGTATATGAGAAATCAAAGACAAACTAAAACATATGAAGCACGAGTACCTCTATAAAGAGGATGTACTTGTATCATATTCATGGAAAATCTCAACACTCCTTGGATGCAGTATCAAACTTTATTTTAACCCAAAAATATATATAATAATAATAATAAATAAATGAAGGGAGACTGAAATTTTGAAATCTGTCAATGCAACAAGATATCCCTGGTATATATATAAAATTTAAAAAGTTAGTATATAAAGAAATGAAATAGATAATGGAAAGCTGTAGTTGAAGAGCTTAGGGTAGTACTTGCTCGGTAAATGTAAGAACTTAGTGTGATGTTGTGGCCTGAATTTTGTTCCTGCCTGAGTCGCGTTGCAATCTGGTTTCAACCCAAAAAATGGGTTTTAGAATTGTCTTGTGGCCCAGTATATAAGGGCGTTTAGGGTTTGAGTTGTGTCGCGAGAGAACACTAAAAATCGCAGGAAATAGAGTGAGAGAGAGAGAGAGAGCTAGGGTTTGGGGGTTGAAATTTGTAATCTTCTATTTTTTGAAAAGTGAAATCTTTCGTTGGATCTTCACCATAGACATAGGCTTACGCCAAACCGTGCAAATCTTTGTGTTCTTTGTGTGTGGCGAGTTTACTTTTCTGTCACGATTCTTGATTGAGTTCTTGGTTCGCGGTATTTGTCACAACACTTAGCTTGTTAATTGTTCACTTGGGTTGTTATTTGTACGTGTAATTTGTGTCAACATATCTACTTCGCATATACTATATAGTTCGTGCCTATCATGTCATGTGTTATATTTGGATGATAATTCAATATTATATGTGAAAATTAGCTTTAGAACCTCAGCTTGCTAATTGTGTTCTAGGGTTCTTTTGCAGTTGGATTGCCATATTGCTAGATAATTAAATGTTGTTTGGAGAACAACATAAACTCTCCTGCTTCTGATATATATTTTTGTTTTGCACTAGTAGTTTGGAGTTTGTTGCTAATTTTTTCTTGAACTACAGGTTCGATTGTGTCGGGAGAAAAAATCTGGTAATATTTATGCGATGAAAAAGTTGAAGAAATCCGAAATGCTCATTAGAGGACAGGTAATATGAGACGTTACCTTCTATATTAGTCAAACTAAGCTTGTTCTCAGGAGACATCTTCCAGTTTCTTTGTTCAGCTATTATTAATGTTTCTTAGTTAAGCTATTTTTTATGTTACTTCATTCTGCTATTATTGGTCCATCACACTATACACTTGTAACCTTCTTTGCTTGTGTGGGACTCAGCCTGGAGTATGCAATCTGTTTAGCATATCATCCAGCCATTGGACAAAAAGTGAACAGTTTTACACTTGTTGATCTTAGTGATTTATTGATCCATCGCACTAATACTTGTAACCTTCTTTGCTTGTGTGGGACTCAGCCTAGAGTATGCAATCTGTTTAGCATGTCATCCAGCCTTCGGACAAAAAATGAACAGATATACACTTGTTGATCATAGTGATTCACTGCACCTACAATAGTCCTGGCAATGGCCCGGTTTATCTCTGGGGCTGACTTTTGGTCATGCCAGGCCAAAGGTTTGCCACCATATGCACAAAAACAGCCTAAGATCAATGGAGGCAGTGCCCTCTATCTACTTGATGATGGCAGTGGCTTCAAGGTTGTTTAATGTGGACTTTCCATTGTGAATAATTTGATGGAAAAGTTTTTGGGTGGTAATGTTTGGGGGTGAGAGTGGCTATCACATAGAGCATTTCTTGATCTTTTTTCAAATTGGCTTGAAAAAAAGATGCATTTATGGATGCTATATGGCGAGCACAAATTTTTTTTGAGTTCCTCTCTTTAAAAGGCACTTGCATGACTTGAGGTTGAGTCTTCACTTATCTCTTGCAAAGTCATTCATTTATAGTAGTTCATTGGTTGCAAGGACACAAACTTGTGATTGGCAAGCAAGTTCTGGTTATTGTCAGCCAACTCATTTGCCAAGTTCTTCATGGATTGTGTTGGTTCCTTTCTTGTGTGGATCATATGAAAGTCTCTTGCCTGCAATATATATATATATATATATATATATATGTACGTGTTTTCCTTCACTTATTCTATTTATTCATTCTTTAGTGGCCACGCTTGGTAAAGAATTTTGAGAATGTGGGTTTGAGTATGCGAGCAATCACTTTGTGTAAATATCAAAATAGGGTTGTCTTCAACCTTCACATCCCAGCAACCCATGTGGGCAGTGAAGAATGTTTCTCTTGAATGGACTTTCTATAATAACACTAAATTTATTAATCAATGCAAAAGAACATGCACAGGACTTGAGTGCTGACAATTTTATTTTTAGAAGTTGAAGCTCGTAATCCCTAGTTGATATTTCAGACATGATTTAGCTTAGAATGCGGACAACCATGAACCTTCTTTGTTCACCCGCTCAATCTGGTTGCTTACTTTCATTTACAGTATTTACTATATGTAAGATGATTCTTAGATATGCTTGTCACCAATTCGTTTTGCTGCCATAAATGTTGTAGTAGGTTAATGTGGTTCTTCCTAATGGTATATATGCTTTAGTTACTAACACAGTAATATAGCATTCAGGTCATAGGCTCGAATCTCAATGTTCCCCGCATAATTACACTACACTCATATTTGGCTCACTAACAGAGGAGAATCTAGCCATATGCAAGGGCGCGTCTTGAATTTATAAATACTTAAATTACAGGCTCCTTAGCTGTATAAGTTTTTAGAGTAGATGATTGTTAATACGGTATTAGAGCAAAGAGGCCCAAGTTGGAATGTAATTGCCTCTTGATAATTTTGACGAGCACATGTCCTTGGTCCTCCAATAAAGGGGAGTCTGGGCACATGTGAGGGTGATTTGAAATTATACACTTAAGTTACACCCTCTCTAGCATCTTAAGCTTTGTAGAGGAATTAGTTGTTGACACATTCTTTGGAGATCTTGGAGATCCGAGATCCTCTCTCTTGCTCTCCCACAATATTTACAAGATAAAAGAAAACTTTTACGGGTGTTCATGCTCAATTTATTTGAGGATTGATGTATTCTGTTTTTCACTTTTCATTGAGGACCTAAATGAACTCTTGGTCATAGAACTTGGATGTCTCTCTGAGGCTCCTAGAAGGAATCTTATAAATACAATTCGTAAATCTGTGGTTATGGTTTGTCTACTAGTGTCATTGCGTGATTCTATATCATGGTTGTCTTCTCTCTTTAACACATGAATCATGAATATTTAATTAGTGATATACCAGGATGTTGATGGTAGCTCTATAATATTCATTCAGAGTGAAGAAAATTTGTTGATTTTGTTTATTTTGTGGAGAGTGAGGGAATTTATGGGCTTGTGGGTAAGCTGTTAGTTGCTGTTACACTTGTTTACCTTCTCAAATACATTATTGAAACCCACTCTTGAATGTGCATTGTGAGGATAGGACTGGTACCCTAGGCTCTTTTGTCACCATATGCGAAATCCCAGACTAGACTTGGAGGGAGGGTGAATAGGTTCTAAAACTTAATTCACTACTTTTTAACAGAAATTCAAATTTCAACTAGCTTATATGAATTGAAGTTTAAATATTAACTAATCAAACATGTAAAAATTAATAGAGTGCAGAAATATAAAATTGTGATGTTGTGGCCTGAATTTGGTGCCAGGTCGCGTTGCGATCCGCTTACAACCCCGTGACCCGTTGGATGAGCTTTGTGAAAAAAATTGACCCGTTTTTGCTCATGGGTCGTGGACCCTAAATAGTACTCTCTTGTAATATAAGGGCAATTAGGGTTTGGAGTGTGATGATTAAGAGAGACTGAAAATCGTAGAGAGAGAGAGAGTGAGGGGCTGAAACTTGTAATCTCCGATTTTACACATAGTGAATACTTTTGCTGGATCTTCACAGTGGACGTAGGCTTTGCCGAACCGCGTATAAACTTTGTGTTCTTTGCGTGGTGTGTTTATTTTTCTGCCATGTTTCGTAATTGTTGCTTGGTTCGCTGCGTTTATCGTAACAAAAAACATACCACACAACTACACGAGCACCAATTTTCATGTGGAAAACCCCATCAGAGAAAAACCATACAAGCTTTATACTAATCAAGACCACAGGTATTACAACACTAGGTATTAGATTCTGAAACATAAAATGGTAACGAGAATGCATGAATATGAAATCCTGATTTGGTGAATGCACAATAGAAAGTTGATTTTACCTTTATACCCTTGTTGAATCTTTTAGATCTCCAGTTTGACCTCGGGTTGAGATAACTCAATTAACTTTCTTTGAAAAATACAAACAAACTAAAATAAAAAATATAGACTCCGTTTTGTATGAAGTTCGCAAACCTAAGTCCTGTGAGACCTAACACACTGTATGATTAGCGTGAATGTTTTCATGTCATTCAACATGTTGTTCTCCAGGGTTTTGAACAACATTTTTATGCATTTAAAACTTTGTTTTAAAGATCAAAACATGTTTACGGTCAACCCTAAACATAAAATGGTAACGAGAATGCATGAATATGAAATCCTGATTTGGTGAATGCGCAGTAGAAAGTTGATTTTACCTTTATACCCTTGTTGAATCTTTTAGATCTCCAGTTTGACCTCGGGTTGAGATAACTCAATTAATTTTCTTTGAAAAATTTAAACGAACTAAAATAAAAAATATAGACTCCGTTTTGTATGAAGTTCGCAAACCTAATTCCTGTGAGACCTAACACACTGTGTGATTAGCGTGAATGTTTTCATATCATTCAACATGTTGTTCTCCAGGGTTCTGAACTCCCTTATGTATACTGTCTCTGTTATGTAGCTCAACACCTCATGTCATTCTGAATTTATTTTCTATGTGATTTGGCTTCTTTTTCATTCACAAAATGACTCTGTTCCATAGGTGGAACATGTTCGAGCTGAGAGGAATTTGCTAGCAGAAGTGGCCAGCCACTTCATAGTGAAATTATACTACTCGTTTCAAGACACTGAGTATTTGTATCTAATTATGGAATATCTGCCTGGAGGTGACATGATGACTCTGCTGATGAGAGAAGACACCTTGAGTGAAAGTGTGGCAAAGTTTTACATTGCTCAAAGTGTACTGGCCATAGAATCCATTCACAAACATAATTATATTCACAGGTTGTTACGCATCTCCTGCTGAATTTGAACAAATTGGTGCTTCAGAAGCTGAATTTTCTGATGAAATTGGTTACTTTTATAATGCACTGTTGGCAAATAAAATATTTCTTTGACCTTAGTTCATTTGTTTCCAGAGACATTAAACCTGACAACCTTCTTCTGGATATAAATGGGCACATGAAGCTCTCAGATTTTGGTCTTTGTAAGCCTCTTGATTGTAGGACTTTATCTACTCTGAATGAAAATGAAACCTTGGATGACGAGAATTTGAGGGAACCAATGGATATCGATGGATGCTTCCCTGATGCGGATAATAGAAGCAATTGGAGGAGCCCCCGTGAACAGCTTCAGCATTGGCAGATGAACAGGAGGACGTTGGTATGTCACCATTTAAGACAATTATTATTATTGCTCTACAACTAGATTTCAGATCCTGTTAATGCTTTAAAAAAGTTTGCACACCATCAATCAATTTATTGGGGAAAAGAAGAAACATGACTTTGTTGATAATATTGAACTGAATATCTAACAAGATGAGTATAGTTGTCTTCATTCCAGTGGTTTGCCCGTGCTAAGGTTCTGCTAGAATTTGTTATCATTATTATGTTTATGATTATTGTTACTCTTAGTAGTATTATTGGCATTGAGAGCCAGTTTGAACTTGTGTACATCTTGAAGTTATATTTGTTCTAGTTTTCCTATTCCAATTTTCTTATATTTCTTTTGATGTCATTTTATCCTACAAGATGCCAGTACCTAACACAAAATAAAGAAGGTTTGTGGGGTTTCATTATTATAATTATTATTACCATTACCAACTATAGCACAAAGAAAAGAAGGTTTTGTGTGTTTTCATTATTATAATTATCATCACTATTACGTACTAAATAAGTTGTTATTATTTTCACATTATTTGAAATCGGGAGCCATTTTGAACTATTTATATTTCGATTTTGTGTCTGTTCTTTATTTTCCCATCCCATACTTCTAAATTTATAATTCTTTTGATAGGCAAGACACACTAACATGCCACTTCATCCCATTTGAGAGTGGAACCCTCAACCTTCCCTTTGGAAGGTAGAGGAGATACCAGCTAATGCTTGGTGGTAAAACTTCTATTTTGACTTCATTTTTTTTCTGTTGAAAATACCAAATTTGGGGTTTCATTTTAATACTGATGAGACCATGATTTTAAGGGGCTGTTTGGGAAACCCAAGCACCATTTTCAGCTGAGAATACAGCTGTTTTGCTTTCACATTGGTCTTTTTCGGTAAATTTATTATCTCTGGTTTAGTTCAAGTTTGCAGATAAGTTGAGGTAGAAAACAATCCTTCCAAGCCAAATCAGTGTTGTTTCCCCAAGAAACATACTTGATTACTACATGACCACAAAGTAAATGAGTTTCAGTGCATGCATGCGTGCGCGCACACAGAGATAATAGAGAAAGAGAGAGAGAGAGAGAGAGAGAGAGAGAGCACATCATGAAATTGATTACTGCGTGACCACAATGTAGATGAGTTTATATAAACATACACTATACTAAATGTGTGGCATAAATGGTCTGCATTCAGTATTAATTGTTAATTATTCAAGTAAGGAACATAATTTTTTTTTATTTTATAAGTCAAGGAACATAATAATAAAAGACTGAGAAAGATCATGACAAAAAAGAATATCAGGCACTGCTGTGTACCAGAGAGATTGGCTCAAACCTTTTTTTTTTTTTCTTTTTTTCCCGCATAAGCGATTAATGAGAAGAATATAGACATGCATCTGTTATTTATCAAGTTAGAAAAGAATACAATGGGATTCTGAAGAGACAATGTGGTTGGGTTAAAAAAACGTGGTTAGAATTACATAAACTGATGCTACAAAGAAACATAAGCTGCAAAATTTGTCAAAATGGAAACAATATGCTACACTAAGATTCAAATACTATTTTTCATTGTTTCCATTATCCAAAGAAGACCAAAAATAATGCCATACAAGCATTCAATTTTTGAAAAAAATCTTATTGTAGAATCAGCAGGTGTTTACACATTTGGTCTTTTAAATGGAGATTGTTATTATACATTTGCACTTGAGCATAATTTTTAACATTAAACTCCTTTGTTTTCATAATATTGACTTTTTAGTTTTTTTCTTCCATTTTGAAAGGCATTTTCAACAGTGGGCACACCAGACTATATTGCTCCAGAAGTGCTACTGAAGAAAGGATATGGCATGGAGTGTGATTGGTTAGTTTGTAATTTTTTGTTTCTCTTATAATTGAAATGGTGTTTTGTGTTAATATTAGCTATTAGTATTGAAATGTTGTTTTGTGTTAGTACTGTGTTTCTGTTATGTTCTGCTATTATTTACATGGATCTATTTTATCATATGCTTTTATGCAGTGAATAGTGGCCTTTAACTTTGGTTCATCATAGGCTTTGGTGAAGGCCAATCATGAAATACAGAGAGGCAGACCTCTTTGGACTTAAAAAGTACTCTATATACTGGCATTTATACTGTGAACAGCCTACTTGGGCAGTGGGGCATTTTTGGTTGTTTTGCAGCAATATTGGTTTATGCTCTACAGTTTTTGCTACATGAATGTAGATAATGATATTTAAGAGCTAAATCTGATTTGATATCAACTGATGCAAGACAGCCATGGTCAGATGCAGTCTTGTTTGGGCGGTGGTCAGGAGAAGAAAGACTGGAGAGAATAAGGTGCGTAAAAAAAAGAGAAAGGTAGAGGCAAAGAACTTGGAGGAAGTATCTTAAAAGAAGGAAAAGTAAATGAGGAGATGACTTATACACCTAAGGGTTTGAACAACTGATGTAGGAATGCATTTATTGCTGGGACTTTACTGTCTACGCCTTGTCATATGATTTTCTGAGTTCATGGACAATTGTAGGATGAAGGTTTAAAAGGGTGGACATATGTTGTAAGCTTTGTAGATTAAGAACTAAGAAGTGCGAAAATACGCTTAGATTTGATCCAATTAGCTACTGGTATTCTGGAATTTTTCGGGGAACAATAATTTAAAGTTCTGGATTAAATGATGTTATAGATAATGAAGTAGGTTTTTGATGCGGAATGGAATTCTTTGGTACCAATTGATGTAGGAGCAAAGTGCTCTAATACCAATTGATGTAAGGACAAAAGTGCTCTGACACCAAACTGGTGCAAAATGAAATGTTCTGATACCAATTGATGTAGGATGGGAATGAAAGAAGAGGATGAGAAGACAGAAGATGAGATAAGGCTAGAAGAAAATGGGAAGGGTGGGGGATAGACGAAGGGTATGAGAAAATAGATTGAAAAGATGAGGCTAGACAGTTTGAGGGGTTTAGAGGAGCAATAATAATGGAGGGAGAAAACACAAGAGAAATCTCTGTATCCAATAGGCAATAATAATAATAATAAAAATCCTACTGAGTATGTGACCTTTTATATAGACAAAGTTGGAAGCAAACCCTAGAAGCCATAAAATAACAAAATAAAAAATAACCCTAAAAGTTAAACATTACCAAAATAAAAATTAGATAAAAACTCAATTTTAATTACATCATATCTCTAATTTTATCTGTCTTTGCTCCTTCTCCAAAAATAAAGCCGAATCACTTGCAGCTCATGCATGCGAGTCGTAACACAATCTTTTTCATTAATATTGTCTCGTGCCTATAATGTTTGTGGTGTGATTTTTTGGTTTTTTCTTTCCTCTATTTGCAAAAACTGCAGCATTTTGCATTTCAAACTGAATCTCTGCAAATACAATTTTTGTGATTACAATAAAACGAAAATCATATTTACCAAACATGTTCTTGTTTCCTTAATATATATGGGGTAAAAAATAAATTAAAAAATAAAAAAATCAAAAAGAAGAAGAAGAAGAAGAAGAAAGAAGGCAGAAGCATGTTTATGGTTTTTGTTTTTGTTTTTTTTCTTAAAACAGAACTGTTATTGCAACCAGACAGAACTAAAATTACATCCTCTGTGATAGACTAATAGTACTAATTACTTATTAAAGAAGCCAACCGTACCCACAATCTTGTTAATGAAAATTTCAATTACAAAAGACCTAGTTTCGTCCTTCCATAACCTTGTGGGTTAGGAGTAAAGCATCCTGAGGTTGGTGCATCTTGTTGGGCTTGGAGAAGCATTGGGAAACCAATTTCTTTTTTCAGAGCCTTTTCTTTGTTTGACAATAAACATGCTCCCCTGTCTCGGTTGGGATTCAAACCCTGCATGTTCCCCTTTCAGGTGGCAGAAGGTACCACTCAAACTAATAGCTTTGTTGGAACACAAATCTTATTGGGGACTGTGTTCCTCCTTATTTTCTTTTTCTTTTTTTTGTTTTGTGTGTGTGGGTGGGTGGGTGGGTGGGTGGGGGATACTCCCATGTCTCAGCAAAGAATTTTGAGAACTATTAGACTTTTTTAGCTTCTCAATTTTGTGCATCTATAAAAATAAAAAAAATAAAATTAGAAATATTCCGTATTTTTCCCATCACTTGTGTATTTATTCATTGACTTTATGCAGGTGGTCATTAGGTGCGATAATGTATGAGATGCTTGTTGGTTACCCCCCATTTTATTCAGATGATCCAATAACTACTTGCAGGAAGGTAAAATTCTTGGTACATTAACTTTTTTGTTCTTATTTCTATGTTACAAGGGCTCCGTTACTTGATTTGTGTGTTCAAGTATTAGATTTATTTAATCACCAAACCATCAATGGCCATATTGTAATTGCTGCCAATTTTACTGTAACTGAATGTAAAATGGGGTTATATGCGAAATGTTTTCTTAGATATGGGTACTTTTCACTCATTTTTTAAAATTAAAATATATTGTAGAATATATTGTTACCATGTATAGGTTTACCATATGGGATTTAGATTTACTTACTATCCACTCGTGTCGTCTCCTATATAAACCCCTATGTATTCTTATATTATACACATCAATACAATATACAATATACAATTTATCTTTCTCTTTTATTTTTATCATAGTATCAAAGCCACCGTAGGGGATGACACTATCAGTCCCATCCCCGGCGGCGGTCAACCAGCAAACTCATGCTTCCGCACTCCAAGATTTTCATATGCCCCGTCTAGCGAAGCCTCGTTGTCTAAGTCTTCCTTCGGGAAACCCAACAAGATGCCTCATTTAGAGAAGCCCCGCCTAGTGATGCCCCGTATAGGGAAGCCTTGTTGTTTAACGAGTTGCCTCGTTCAGAGATGCTAAACATGTCGGGTCAGCTCCGTCACCGCTCCACCATGCGCTTTCACACGCACCAACGGTAATCTCGCACCTTAACGTGTTGGATCAGCTCCGTCACCGCACCACCACTAGGGCTGCAAATGAACTGAGTTGTTCATGAACAGCGCTTGGGCTCATTTCTCGTTTGCTTAGCAAACGAGCCGAGCTTGAGCAAAAATTTTGAGCTCGAGCCCGATCAATGGTAGGCTCGTGAACAAGCTCGTTTATTAGTAATTTATAATTTTTTTATCCAGCCTAACATATTTAATCCATTGTTACATGAGCCCATTTGTAAAATACATTCCTATTAAGCCCAACAAAAAATGACCCATATTTATTTCATTTTAAAGATCCAACAACAGACCCATTTATGTTAAGTTTGCTAGCACAAACCAAACCCTAAAATTTACAAAGATGCGGCATGTGCATCCGGCATCCGTGACGTTTTTCTTCTCACTCTCTGCATCAATCGGCGACGACCACTTGACCACCTCTCCCTTCATTGGTCCTTCAATATTTCCAGAGATCGGTGACGTTCAACCTCTCCTTTCACCGGTCCTTCAATATTTCTAGAGATCGGCGACGGCCAGCCTCTCCCTTCACCGGCCCTTCAAGTTTTCATATTCTTTAAAGACAACAATGGAGGAATAATGAAATTAATTGCAAAAAAGGAACGATGCACAATTGTTGTTGATTTCAGACAACCTCAAGGTATGCATATATATATATATATACACACACACACACACACATATATAACTCAATACATATGATTTGTTTGTGTTATGTATATACAATACTCTGTTGTATATTATATATACGAGTATATGTGTTCATATCTTCCTCTTCTTTCGGTTCACAAATTGCATATAAAATCAAAATTGAAAATGAAATGGTGCAAACGAGCTTGAATTGAGCCGAGCCCGAGCTTGCAGATATTCTGACGAGCCTGAGCATGGCTTGGCCAAGCTCACCCGAGCACCTCCCAGATTGTGACAAACCGAGCCCGAGCATGCCAAAGCTTGGCTCGGCTCGGTTCATTTGTAGCCCTGACCACCACACACCATCAGCGTGGTGAATCTTCATAAATTCATCACCCATCAGTTTATAGTAGTTACCACGGGGGATGGCAACATCAACCTATTCACTTTCCGCACCTACCTTCAAGATATTCACAGATCAACCCTACGTCACCTGACATGTCAGCATTGGTGCAACGTCAGACACATGCTGCAACGGTGCTAGTAGTTGTGCCACTTCACCTACCATGTCATTTTCCATGCAGCAGAGGTGCCAGCAGTAGTGCCAAGTCACCTACCACTTCAGTTGCCATGTCATCAACCACGTTAGCATTGGTGCCACGTCAGCTACATCAGGGTGAAAGGATTGTCTTCAAACTCAAGATGGCTTCATATAACTTACCTTGACTTTCAGGGGAATTGTTAGAATATATTGTAGAATACATGTATAGGTTTACCATATAGGGTTTAGGTTTACAATATAGAGTTTGAGTTTACTTGCTCTCCACTCATGCCGTCCCCGTGTATTCTTATATTATACACAACAATACAATATAATATTTCTCTCTCTATACTTCTAACATTTTATAAATATATGTTGCAAATTAGGACACCACATGGGTACGAGTGAATGATGTGTAGAAATTTATGTTTCATTGACTGAGAGCAGTCTTGTTAGAGAAGAATTGGACATTCACATATCTATTCAACCACACCAATGTGGTCATGTGTTCAACATTGGTACTTCATTCATATTGAAGTATCAATGGGATACAACCCATCTTAGAAAGAAATATTTAGTTCTGGTCACATTTTGAAGCTTCATTATTACATTTTATGTTTCAAAATAAAACTTAATGATATTTTGATATAATTATATGCCAGTTACTTAACAAGGAAAGAAAGACAACCAGGGCCTAACTTCAACTCCAACCATAATTGGTATTGGTGTTAAATCAGAATATAGTGAAAGTGCACAGGAATTGGGATTAGATATTGTCACTGGTCATATTCCATCCCTATTGCAAATTAGTTTGAAGATCTTTTTCGACTTATAAATTATGATAATATAAAATTTTCATGTGAGATAAATTAGATAGTGAATCCAAAATGTCTCATAAAAACAAATGCTTGTAGTTTTATGGGAAAAAGTATCCCTATAAAAACAAATCTTGACTAAGAATTTTCCATTTTGCAAATGCTTTTAGCTTAGCAACTATATAAGCACATACTGAATATGCACCCGTCCCCAACAGAGTAACCTCGGGCATATAAAATCAATGGTTGCATTTAAATTGCACCTGCTTCTATTACTGTTTTCTCAGCTTTAAGCTGCATTAGTGATGCATTTTCTGTTAGGGTAGTGCCCAAGACATGAGAAAAGTTTCCTCAAGTCATTTATGTATGCATTTCAGATTGTTCATTGGAGAAATCACGTAAAATTCCCAGAAGATGCAAAGTTGACGTCTGAGGCAAAGGATCTCATTTGCAGGTTGCTATGTGATGTTGAACATAGGCTGGGTACTGGAGGTGCTAACCAAATTAAGGTAGATTTTTTATTCTATTAGACGTTTCCTGATTTTCTTTTTCCAGTTTCTTCCCATCTCCATCTAGTTACAAGTCTATTGTATCAGGCTCATCCTTGGTTCAACAATATTGTATGGGATAAACTGTATGAAATGGAGGCAGCATTTAAACCAGAAGTCAATGGGGAGCTAGACACCCAGAACTTTATGAAGTTTGATGAAGTATCTCACAACTTATCCCTTTCTTTCTTTATTTATTTTTATTCTTTTATTGTTTTATTACTTTAGCTGTAGTAACAAGAATGATAATAATTATTCTAATGCTACTAATAATTGTTTTGTTAAGTTTTTTTATTTAATAGATGCCACTACTTAATTGTTGTTGATCTAGTTAATGTTTATTTTTTGTTCCTCTTTTAACTATTGTTAGGCTTAAGTTTGCTTTAGGTAATGCATGCATAATGGATCTTCAACATATTTTCCATTTTATAACATTTGAATTGGTGATTAGTTTCTCACTTTATCATCTTATTACAGCTCCATGGTGTTCAAAGTAATTTCTGCTGTGGTTTTCATTGATGTGTATGAAGTGAAAGATGTATGCTTAGCAACTTTGAATCTTCTTGTATTTGTTTGCTGGAAAGCCAAACAGCTGTTCTGTGATTCTTAAGTACTAGTTATGTGCTACTCTCATGGAATTTCCATTTGTTTACACGTTTAGATTTTTCATGTCATGTCTACATATCACAAGAATATGCTTGTATTTTGAAATTATTTGGTCTTTCTGCAAAAATATGGGATGCTTAGTCATTAAACAATCTTAACAAATGTGGTGTACTTTCTGCAAATGGTCATTCAAACATCGAGGGTAGGGAATTTCCTTCTGCTAGTTCAACGCATGTGATGTAGTGTATTATTTTTATTTTTGAGTATTTGCTTCATTTTGTATTTTTCTAGGTATGATGCATTTGTGCTGTCTACTCATGATATTAATTCTTTGGATTTGTTGTCAGTTGGATCCTCCAATACCAGCAAGAACTGGATCAGGATCCTCTCGAAAGGTTTGTAATTTCATGCTAATATACTATTTATCTATGCACTTGTGGAAGAGATACTGTGTGTCAATAGTTGGTGGTCACCATTTGCTCTAATTTCATATGAATTTGTAATTTGTCGCTGATCTATGAATAATCCAAGTAGTTAACCCTGATTTAGCAAAATGAAAACAAAAAATTAAATGTAGATAAGTTTTAGAAGATAATGGCTCATATTGTGATGTGATGTGATGTGCAATCTTGTTAACAGATCAGACAATGCTTTTCCTATAGTTCTTGCCAACAGAATGATATGATTTTGTTGCATAAAAGCATGAGCCAGCATAATGTTGACTGGCATTTGCAATAAATAAATTAAAAAAACTCCAAAATTGATTTTGTTGCACAAAAGCATGAAACTCCAAAATTGAAAAGGAGGATTTTATTATCTGTTTACAAAATGTATGTGGTTTGCACGGCAAGAATGAAATGAATTTTAGGGAATTCCTCACAAGATGCTCTGGTGGAAACTTTTCACCATAAAACTACCCTACTTTGAAGTTAGAGATGATATAGTGGCCCTTCTGAGCTTCATGGAGGTTTAAAATGAACTTGGTGATAGATGATGCAGATGTTTCAACATCACAGGGTGCTAAATTGCTAATAAGTTTAATCTTCTATTATTTCTTGAGTCTTACATTTTTTTATGGACTTAGTAAAGCATCTGATTTCTCCCTTCAATGTTTCTTCATGACAGATGCTATTAACTCCCAAAGATTTGAATTTTGTTGGCTATACATACAAGAACTTTGATGCTGTCAAAGCACTACGTAATTCACCCGGTATGTAAATTATATTCTACTGTTGAGTACTTGATGCATTTCTCTTTATATACATACATACATGTATATATTGTGTATCTGTGCAGCATTTATATTTTATAGCTAAATGTTTTTGTAAAAAATTGCTCTGATTCTATTAGTCAGCATGTGTATATTCCTGTTTGGGCATGAGTTGTATGAGCATCGACCTATATTGTTCCCTGGAAAAATATCACCAATAACAGCAAAATGCGGGATTTTATTTGGAATTACTGAAACAATCATGGAGCTGGGAGGCATAAGCTCCATGCTCCCGAAGGCGAACATACACTTGCAATAAATGTTACATGACATTATGTATCTTATCTGTATGTCCCAATAACCCATTCTCACTTACTGGACAATTTCATAAATATGATCAAACCTCCACTTGTTGCTGCCAACGCTTTTCTAGTATGTATTAAGCACAGGAACATAATGAGGTTCATGATACCGCTACTAACACAACCTTTGCGGAAAGTGTTTGGAACCAATACCTAGATACAAACTTTTGTATGTATTTATTCAATACCTCCCTTTTGGAAGGGTCTACAAGGTCTCTATCATGAATGGCCATGAGAAATGCTAAGTGTGATACTGGGTTACAGAGACTATCTAACGACTGCTGAACCAGCCCATGCTCAAGGGAATTCCATGCGAGGCTTAGCCCTTGTAGACTGGTACCTGTTTGGTCAGTGATTTTGATGTTCCCGGGAAGGATTTGAACTAAGGAGAGTTGGAATCACTCCTTTTTGCATTTGAATGCTAAGATTCATTATTTAAGATGGAAACATCTAATTGAGAAAAATAAAGAATATGTTTTGTATGCCTCAAATTCTTATTGGGTTGGCTTTGAGTTGTATTGGTTTGGGGATATGTTATTAGACTTGGGCCTAAAGTAATTCTACTTGATCAAGTAGTTGATTTTCTTGCCAATAAGGATTTTTATTACTTGTTCACCAAGCTAGGGTTAGAAATTCTCTATAAATAGAGAGGAAGTTGAGTGGAGAAGGTAGAGAAAAAAAAAATAATGGAGTGAGAGTGAGAAGAGTATAGCGTGGGTGAGAGTAAAGAGATGTGATAAATGGGTGGCATTCTCTACAGTCACATTCTCTTCTTGATTCATAATTAGTGAAATTTTCTTCTCTGTGGACGTAGCCCAAATTTTGGGTGAACCATGTAAATTTTGTGTTTTGTGATTGTCTTTGTTTCTCGTTCGCTTCCGCTGTCCCAACAGAATATTTCACCATATATGTGTTGTCAGGGGCTTATTTGTTACTACTTATATAACGTTGGGGCTTATGTGTAATTTCTGAAACTTGTTAGTATAAATAGAATGTGGTGGAAGGATGAAAGTATTCTTTCATTCTTTCTCTCTTTCCCCATCTCTCTCTTTTTCTCTCATCCTTTTTCTTCTCTTTTTCTTCTTCTTCTTATACTTTTGATTTGATTATCTTTTAAAGTCAACAATATGATGGTAAAGAAACACAATGACCTTCTTCGTTGTAAGACATACTTTTGTAATAGATTCCCCCTTCTTTAATGGCCAACAGGTTCGACTCAACCCCTAGGCCCCCATTTTGAGAAAGGCCTCATTCATTCTAAATGTTTGTTACTTGATTTAATATTCTTTATTCTATTTTGTGGGACCTTTATAAACAACACAAAAGTTAAATACATGGAACATTGTGTTTGAATACTGTTGAAGGATTTATATATTTAAGTTACACCCTCTCTAATAGCTTAAGCTTTTGGAGTAGATGGTAGTTAACATGGTATCAGAGCCAAAGGTCTCGAGTTCAAACCTCACCGTCACCCTAATTAAAAAATTGAAAAACACGTGTTGGACCAAAAGAAGACCACACGTGAGGGGGCATGTTAAAGGATTTATATATTTAAGTTACACCCTCTCTAATAGCTTAAGCTTTTAGAGTAGATGGTAGTTAACAAATACAAAGTATGTAAAAAAAAAAAAATTCAACTTTTATTATGCCATGCTTTTCTTATTCTCTTGAAATATTTTTCAGTTGTTAACAGTATAAGGTATTAATTAATCAATTTAACTGACTTTAGAAACATGAATTCTTGAATTAGCAATAATAAATTAGAATCATGTTGATACAAATTGTAATTAAAACCTGATGAAAAAAAAAGGAACAAAACAAAAGAGAAAAAAACTAAGGTGCAACACTATCTGTCAAATATTCGAACAAAAGGAGTGGTCATCACTTGGATTTGAAACTAAGGCCATTTCTCTCAGCCCCCATTTTTTCTGCCATCTTCTATTAAAATAATTTTATCTAACTTTTGTCATTCGTATCATTCATAGTACTAATTCTATGAAAAATATGCAGTGGTTCTCCATTTACTTATCAATTATTTTTTTTTAGTTCCATATCATTCATAGTACTAATTCCATGAAATATTCTATGAAAAATATGCTGTGGTTCTCCATTTACTTATCAATTATTGTTTTTTAGTTCCAATGCATTTAGTCTATTCCTACTAAAAGTTTCTCTTTGTAGGCTATTATAATCACAATACGAATGTTGTACTTTGATGAGCTTTCGTGTCTAGTCTAAAATTTATTCCAAGTATATATGCATGTTAAGTTGACATCCTCTTTTTCAATATGAATTTTTTTGTTTTTATTTAGATAGTTGAGAAGATGAGTAAAAAATATTTGAAAAATTACAATAAAAGGGCCAACTCATGTATTTATGTCATTTTTTATTGATATTAATTTCTTTTGTTATTATTTTGATAGTTGAGAAGATGAGTAAAAAATATTTGAAAAATTACAATAAAAAGGGCCAACTCATGTATTTATGTCATTTTTAAATGATATTAATTTCTTTTGTTATTATTTTGATAGTTGAGAAGATGAGTAAAAAATATTTGAAAAATTACAATAAAAAGGTCAACTCAGGTATTTATGTCATTTTTAATGGATTCATTGACAGATCTTGCCCACGGCCTCAAAATATTTTGAGTTGGTCTAATGTTAACACTGCTCAACCATGGTATTTACAAAATATAGTTTGTGCTTGGAATGAGTATACAGACAGTATTTTCCTCTTCCAATGATCATTAAATGATGTTACTACCCTTTGGTGTATTTAAAAACTACGTTTTCCCTTCCAAAATTACAATTTGCCCACTACAGAATATTCTTAAAATTGACATTATTGAACATGAATTACATTTACAATTCAAATCTATTAGTTTTTTTATTTTTTATTTATTATTTTTTTTTAATCTTATTGAAATATAATATTATCAATATAATTTGCAAATTTGTTACCTTTACAAATTAGATATGTATGGCAATTTAATTAAATATATAGTATGCAATTTAAAACTTCAAATTTGCAAATTTACAAAATATGAAATATTTAAAATATATATATATATATATATATACACACACACACATATTGAAAATTTTATCGAAAATATAATATTTAATTAAATTTATAACTCCAAAAAGTTAAAAGGCTCGCCTATTGCACGAGACTCCCGCAAGTGCGGGGTCTGGGAGTGTCAGATATATACAGCCTTACCCAGGGCCGGCCCAAAATATTTTAAGGCCTTAAGCGAGATCTCTCGATGAATTCATTAAATATGACATAAATACATAAGTATTGTAATTTTTCTCATATTTGTTTTAGTCATCTTCTCAACTATCAAAATAATAGCAAAAAAAAATCATATTGAAAAAGAGGATATCAATGTAAGATGCATATATACTTAGAATAAATTTTAGACAAAACACAAAATCTCATCAAATAACAATCTCCATATTGTGAATATAATGCCTACAAAGAGAATCTTTTAGTAAGAATAAACTAGATGCATTGGAACTAAAAAACAAGAATTAATAAGTAAATGGAGAACCAATGCATATTTTTCATAGAATTAGTACTCTAAATGATAAGTATGACAAAAGTTAGTTAAAATTATTCTAATAAAATATGGCAGATATAAACAGGCTGAGAGAAATGGCCTTAGTTTCGGATCCAAGTGATGACCACTCCTTTTGTTTGAATATTTGACAAATAGTGTTGCACCTTAGTGTGTGTGTGTTTTTTTTAATCAGGTTTTAATAACAATTTGTATCAACATAATCCTAAATTTTTTTATTGCTAATTCAAGAATTCATGTTTCTAAAGTCAGTTAAATTGATTAATTAATTTCTTTTATTGTTAACAACTGAGAAAATTTTCAAAAGAATAAGAAAAAGCATGGCATAGGCATGGTTCGTATTTAAAGTAGTAATTTTTTTACACACTTTATTCAAACACAATGTTCCATGTATTTAACTTTTGTGTTGTTTATAAAGGTCCCACAAAATATAATGAAGAATATTATATTAAGTAACAAACATTTAGAACGAATGAGGCCTTTCTCAAAATGGGGCCTTAAGCCATTGCCTCAATGCCCTAGGGGTTGCGCCCTAAAATAGATGGAATAACGATTAATTGCTGAAAGCGTGACATTTTCAGTTTTGAAATCACTAACATGCCCTTTGTTATATACAAAATGCCATTGATCAATTTTTATTCATATACCGTTTGTAAATGGGTGCAGAATGGATTATCCATTTGATCCATATACAAACCACATATATACATCTCCGGTTTACGCGCTTTATTTTCTTGCAATTTTTTTTAGCGATGGCCGTGAAATCAGAAAGATGATTGGAATTGAAACATGGCCGTGAAATCAAAAAGATGATTGGAATTGAAACACGGGTAAAGCTAATCTCTTCCTATATGTAAAAAGTGTTTGATCTAAAAATCTACAGCTCATTGCCATAAGTGAGGACTTCAACATGTCTCCGATTTTGGAATTAAGTGAAGTTTCAATCCACGTTTTGACATCTGCTCAAGTTAAAGAGTTTCTATTAGATGAAAGGAGTGAAGTGTTGAGAGACAGAGAGAAGGGAGGGAAGAGGGAAAGAAGCCCTATGCAGTTCGTGGGAAAAGACTACCTTAAGGGGAATAGTTTCATGTGGTGTGTTGTGGGAAGTTGGGTTTGGTGCTGTGTGTGTGAAAAGAAATTTCTTTGGATTTTCTGATTGTGTTGGAAATCTAAATGCATATGCAGTCCGTGGGAAGAGACTACCTAAAGGGGAACAATGTCATGTTGTGTGTTGTTGCCCTTGTGAGAAGTTGGGTTCGGTAGTATACATACATTTACATTATATATGGACGGCATAAGAGATGTCTGGACGGGTTACAGTGAGATAAACCAGACTACCAACCAATTATCAATACAATGTACCGTCTCAAAGAGATTCGTCATCATGTAGATTAAGTCTTGTGTTGTGCTCAAGTGGTGTATCAACAATCTTGTTGTCAGTTAAGTCTGATTTTGAAAGAAGATCGGATATGTATTTTGCCTGAGTGAGGTAATAATCATCTGTAGCTTGTAGTGATCTCAATACCAAGAAAATAACTGAGAGGTCCAAGATCCTTCATCTCAAATTGATGACTGAGAAACTATTTGAGCTCCTGAATTCCCGTCAAATCATTCCGAGTGATGATCATCATATCATCAACATAAAGTAAAAGAAGAATAATACCTCGGTTAGTGCGTCGGATGAATAGAGTTGAGTCATAATAGCTAGCAGAATATCCTAGATGAGAGATAGTCTGGCTGAATTTGACAAACCAAGCTCGAGGTGCCTATTTGAGGCCATACAGCTCTTCGGAGTCGACACACCTTCTGAGGAGGAAGATGATAACCTGAAGGAGGATGCATCTCTATTGAGAAAGGCATTCTTAACATCCATCTGAAAAAGTCCCCAGTGACAGGAAGCAGCCACAGTAATAAGAGTGCAAACTGAGGGAAGATGTGCAACTGGAGCAAATGTCTCATCAAAATGAATGCCATACCCCTGTGTGAATCCTCTGGCTACAAGTCGGGCCTTGTAACGCTCAACAAACCCATCTGAACGAGTCTTGATTTTGTACACCCATTTACATCGTACTGCAAACTTTTTAGGAGGCAAATCAAGCAGATCACATGTCTGAGTTTTGGTCAGTGCATCTAACTCCTCTTTCATTGCTTGCTGCCACAAAGGGTTAGAAGCCTCATGAAAAATGTGAGTTTCATATAAAGTTGCAAGGGCATGATGGCAATGAAAATCATTAAGATGTGCAGGTGGAGCTCTTCCTCGAGTAAAATGGGGGCGAAGATTTGAAGTAGTTGTGCTACCCCCAAACCTTCTCCTATATATAGGACATTTATGTAATCTTCATTAATATAATACAATATAATATTTTCTCTCTCTATATTTCTAACATGGTATCAGAGCTTTTCGATGTAAATAATCTACCAGTTTAGTCACCGTCGGGGATGGCACCATTAGTCCCATCCTCGACAGCGATTAACTTCAAACTTATGCTTCCTCATCCCAACCTTCAATCTCAAGTTCATAATCAGCAAAAGTCTTATTTGGCCGCCCAATCAGACTCTAAGACACATCATCGCTATTTCATGGCAATAGCGCCATAATTCAGCCTCATCAGTGTCAACAATGGTGCCAACAGTAGTGCGTCACCTGCCACGACAACTGCCATGTCAGACACAGCCAGCGGTGCCAGCAGTAGTACCATGTCACCTGCCACGACAGCTGCCATGTCAGACACAATCAGCAACGGTACCAGCAGTAGTGCAACGTCACCTGCCACATCAGTTGTTAACCGTGCTTCCATCTGTATCATGGGTGAAAACCCATCTCTACCAAATTTTCATCAGGATCAGGCTGCTTTCATGATCTTGCTTTCAATCTCAAGTTGGATTCATACTCAACTTGAGTTTGAGGAGGGCTATTAGATTACAAGTTTACCCCTTTATCTACCACCTAGGTTTCTTGCATACTACAAATTTCCATATATGATTACACCTACCATATTAGTATCTATAGGTTACTTGTTCATCACTCACCTACCCTCAAACCTTCTCCTATATATAGGACCTTTATGTAATCTTCATTAATATAATACAATATAACATTTTTTTCTCTCTATATTTCTAACATGAATAATGATTTAAGGACGTAGTTACCGAATTCAATTTATGTGAGTGTGGTGGTGGGTCATGTAATGGGACTCATCACCCCTCTCACATAATTTGAATTCAGTAAAAGTCGAATTCGGTTCCTAAATCACTACTCTTACATTATTTATGTTAATGCTGAAATAATAAAAGACGACCATTTTTTTTCATTGTACAAGGGTAAACCTTTTACATTCACGTTAATAGCAACGGGACGAACTGGCCTGAATTGCAACTTATTGGTAGTTTAGGGGTTTTAGTAGCTTTAGTAGGGATTTTATGCAATTTACTCTTAAATGAACATGAAGATATGCTCCGTGCCTCTACTATTATTCTTCTCTTCTTTTTTTTTATTCATTGTACAAGGGTAAAAATATCATTTTACATTCGGGACAGACGGACCTCAATTGTAACTTATTATTGGTAGTTTAGGGGTTTTAATAGCTTCAGTATGGGATTTTATGCAATTTACTCTTAAATGAATATGAAGATATGCTCCATGCCTCCTCTATTATTCTCCTTGTGGACGCCAGTATGAAGAATATGTGAAAGAGGCATTTGTATAAAATATTTCATTGGTATGGTAGTGATGGCTATCAAGACATGATGCGAATGCATGAACTTGCCTTTTTTATTTTATTGGATAAATGTCACCATGCTTGAAGAGCGGACAAGGAAATATAGATTTTAAAATTTTAGGTATTACAATATTTAGGAATTTTATTTTTGTTTTTGGTATTTATATAATTTGGCAATATTTCCTTTTAATTAGTAATTAGATTTAGATTTGCCTATGAATAAGGCCTAATCTAGTAGGACAAATAGCTTTTGATGATTAATTATTGAGAATATTTGAGATACGATTTCTTCCCCCTATTTCTTCTTTTCTACTATTCTTCTCTCTTCCTCCACTTTGCTACATCAGTTTGATATTAAAGCATTCCCATCCTACATCAAGTAGTTTTTCTCCATGCCAGTAAATCATACTTGCACTAGCAGTGCTAAGGAACCATAGGTAAGCATTCCAATCCCTGCATACCAAGATTTCTTATGGCTATCTTTTTAAGGTTGTGTATCCACATATTGTCAAAACATGCCATAACCTTCCACTGAGAATAATACGTAGTAATATTGTGTGGTTCCCAACCGACCCCAAGTAATTGGGAAAAGGCTTCATTGAGTTGACAATTATTCTATGGTTCGCAATGGCTTCACTTCCAAAACGCGGGACTCTTTGTTTTTAGCTTTGGAATTGTATAGTAGACAAAGTTGGATTGTTTGTTGAATTGCATTTGAGAAATGCAAGAGGAAGCTCAGATTCATCGCTGAAAGAATTGCATCGTGATGATAATTCATAGTAGGATAAATGCCTTTTCGTAATAAAATAGACATTTTAACTAAAATGCCATGGGAGCAAAATTGTAACTTAGCACGTTCCGTTTACACCCTTTAATGGAATTTTCTGAAAGGGAAGGTCAGTATATAGTTTTTAAAAGCACGAGGAGGTCACTGTAATTTCAGTAAACCTCGGGACAGTCAGTGAAATTTTCCCATAACCTTTTATACATTCATCTTGAAATAAGGCATGGTGTATGTTTCATTTCAATGCTGTTTCCAAATGTTCTAGTGGTCCTGAATGTTTTCTCATTATTTAGTGCTTCTACTAGATGTCAGTAAATATTTGAGCATGTGTTTTTGATATTTTTGTAATTCTTGCAGATCTTTTGAGGAGTACATCACCAAGACGGCCATCTATTGATTCAATTTTTGGTAATAGACACTATTTCATGACTCCCAACTCCCACGGCTCTCTGTATATATTTATGTATCATTGTTAATATGTTGCATCCTGCAGGTGATCCTAATGTGGAATATACTACAAAAGGGGCAGCGAAGGAAACAGATGTACAGATGGTTGCATCAACAGGTGATGCAATGTCACCGTGATACACAAGATCTGCAAGTCCAGCATCCTGACAGTGGCATGTCTGTTTACTTTGATAGGGTTTTTCCCCCCTACATAGGCATTTCTGCGAGAATGCTATGCCACATTTTGCAGAACCATAATCTAAGTGTACAGTAGTATTTGAGAAACTTGATAAAAGCCCGATAATGATGGGTTAATTGGTAGAATGAATGATCTTTTAGTGGGAGATCTGTATTATGTAAATTTAGAATAGGGATGTGGTACTTGTGTCCTAGCTGCCCAGGTTGGTAGTGGAAAACTTGCCTTCTCTTGTGGCAGTTTATGGTCAACTTATTATTGGATGGAAACAAACTATCATGAAACTACGTTTTTTTTGTTCTTCAAGAGAATCGCTATTGTGTGAAAAGTTTTGTGGGAGGGGAAAAAAGAATTGATGGTGTAGAATGGAAATATTCCATCCTCAATTTTTATTTTTATTCTGCATTATTTATTTGTTTCACGATGTTAGCTATTCTTGTGTTGCACATGCTGAAAATGGTTATAAAATCTTTAAAAGTTTTTCATGGAACACAATGAAAAAGTGTTCCCATAAACTTTGTCGGCATCTCTAATTTTTGTCTCACAGTTCAGACGAGTATAATAAACCAAGAAAGAGTAATATCATTCGCAAATTAGAAGCTGAACACCCAGCATTGCGAATTTAGAGTGCCATTCTATTCTATGTGTGTGATAGAAAAGTTTGATTGATGTGACGGTTTGAAATGGCCAATCTCTGTTAAGAATGACCTAAACCAAACATTGCCTTTCAGCATTGAAGGTTCACTTCCAATTCTCTTGCTACTTGCCTGGTATTATACAATTGCAGACGTGTTTGTTATACCCGTATTTAAATGGCATCTAAGCACGAAACAGCAACAATCATTTACATGCAGAAGCTGAATTCAGTCCATATAAGCATGACTACATGATCATTATGCTGCAATAAAAGGCAATAAGATACTCGCATGAAGCACCCTCTCTTCGGCATATCGAAACTATAAATAGTAACAGTATATCACTGAACAAGGGTAATGTACCCCATTAAACCAAAGTGTAAATCTTACAAAGGACCACCAATATAATATAACTTAAAACATATTGAATAATCAAATATTTTCCAGACCAAACTCTTAAATTGAACAGACTGAAATCTGAACCTTCCCAGAAACCGGAAACAACTCCAAACTTCAACAACAAACCAAAAGCATATATCATATTGATAAAATCAAGTGTTTATCTTATTCACTTGAAAATGACACATCCCACTAACCCTTTTCATCAAGACTCAGACCTTTCAATGCAAGAAGGCGCTCTACTTCTCATCACCCGGACTTTCCAGCTCTACTTCTCATCACCTGGACTTTCCAGCTTCACACCATCTTTTTTATCCTCATCGCCTGGACTTCCCAGCTTCACACCATCTTTTTTATCCTCCGTTGAAGCAGGCGCCTCTTCGGTTTTTTCCTCTTTATCTTTGCTTTCTCCTACACTCAACTTATCCAGAAGGTTAGCAGTAGAGGTGGCTTCTTCACTCTCTCCAGCCGTCTCTTGGGATTGGGCGACTTCTTCAACCTTTTCTTTGAAAGTTTTGCAGTCTGAAAAGAGAATATATGGTAGAGAAGTAAATAAATTGGACACATATCCATTGCTATTGTAATATCATCTATAGGCAATAACCATTTCCCTTTTGTAATATTAACGCAGCAAAACTGCAATTGTACCAATACTATCTTCCATCATCAGTACTATTATATTTATCACCACTTTTATTAGCAAAAATATCAGTGAAAGTGTAAAACCAAAAAAATTTTACTGTAATATGAAATTGAATGGCATATTTAATAAAATCCCTATGTACAAGTACAATAAAATGATCTCATTAATTTTGTTGATTAAGCCTATCAAATAAAATTCAAAGATTAGTATTTATCAAATGTAATTTGGCATGTAATTTAATGCAGTATACCAATATGAGGAAAATTCCCATGTCTTGCACAAGAAACAATTTTACTAGTGACAAAAGATCGCAATTCTGCACCTCTAAGAGAGTGAAAAGACAGGAGAACGTCCAAGAAAAGAGTGGGAAACTGAAGAAGAACTCAATCAAGACAGCGGAGATCCAGTTAAAGCAGATGGGCATTTACACCCACTTGACACTTACTGTGAGGGAAGGCAGAAAGGAAAACATAAATGAGACCAAATCAAAGCTCAGTCGCAGCTGGAAGAAAGAGCTATAAATAAAGCTTAAGCAGACTACTAAAGCTCATCTTAAAAATTTAGTTTGTTATATATTAATGTTTTTTATATTGAAAGCTAAGAGGACAATTTAGTCCGTGTGTAAAACAAAGACCAAATCAAGGCCTTTAAAATAATAGTTTAGACACACACAAACTTTAAATAATTATTAACACGCCAAACTAACATTTAACAATACTTTAAGTGAAAACTTTGTAAAATATATTATTAGAATTATTAAAATAATTTGATAGTAGCTCTTTTGGCAGTGTATTTGGTTGGAGCTTTAAGTAATATTTTTAATTATAAAGCCTTTTTTAGTTTCCTTGTTTACATAAAACAAGCTATCTGATTTGAGTTTCTTAATGAATCAGGTTCAATCCACTCTCAACTAAAGAAGCGAGAACTCACAGATTCAAAGAAAAAAAAAACTTTTCTAATATGAAAGGTCTCCTGCAAGTAACACGAAAAGATATCTAAAAGTTCTGTCAATTAAATGACAGCCATAAGGTTGAGATCATGGGAATAATCACCCTGAAAACTAAAAACTAGAGCAGTGCTGTATGTTGCAACTGACTTATTTGCTAGATGAACTCTTACCATTTTTTAAAAAACAAAATAGTAATAAAATGATTATGAGGACCGTCAATTCTTATGGTACAAATAAGATGGGCAGTAAGAGAACTACTCTCCATATATTTGTATACTAAAAAAACGGGAGCAAATGAACAAGTATTGAGATGGGGAAAAAAAAAAAAAGAAATAAGATGTGCACTTTATGAGATGCTACATATGAAAACTAATGATAAAAACTGAGAGTGGGCTTGGCCATGTGTTCTAGAGACAGCTATTACCAGAATAGAAGAAAGATTTAAAGACAAGCCAATGAACTAAAAAGGAGAGAGCTAAACCCAATCAAAGATGTAACATTGTGATGAAGTGACGACACGAGATCTAATACAAGGATTCTGGGTCAAGAGCTCTTACTGTTGTGATGAACTAGTAAGAAGGGTCACTTTGACTCAAGTTGAATAGTATTAAGTGCCAAACAACAAAAGGTCAAGTATGTAATGAGAAAGGATACTGACCCGATTTTCTGTCCCTTAATCTTTCAAGTCTATAGAAAGCTCTAAAATGGACTTGTATATATTTGAACGTGAGACCTGGGAAAGCTATGTCACATGCACTCAAAGTACATGAATTAACCGTGTTGGACACATGATATTCGGACATTAGTATGGGACGTGTATTCTATAGTTTTGGTTTCTTTTAGTTTTTCTGGGATTAGGTATTATATTAGGAGGTCTAGGAGTTGTATTACTTAACAATACAATTTTGTCTGCCTTCTCATTGTATCAGTCCATCTAGTCACCAACAAATAGAGGTTGGGTCCCATGGTCTATACCGCCAATCAATAAGCATACAAACTAATTTGATTTTATAATATTATTATTTCAAAATGAGTTAAATTCCCATATTGAACATTATGTTATATAAAAACTAAAAAATAAAATAAATATGTTAAATAATATGAATATTTAGCAACATACATCCTTTTGTTTCAGAATTTGAGAGGTCCAACGCTTGGATACATACCCACATCCAACACGTATACCCTAGTCCATGTAACAAAACCAGAAAGAGTCTTGATGATTATTTTTAAAGGAAAGCAATGCAAAAGGCTAATAAAATTAGTTTAGATAAAGCTTTCTTAAGATCAGTTAGCTATGAAATGTCGAATCGTCAGATTCAGTATTCACTTTTCTTTTGGCTTTAGCTTTTACCTTGCTTGTATGTACCACAATCTTAGCCTAAATAACAACTTGCACTGGTTTGAATAGACTTGTTTTAAATTGGCAAAAACATAAGCAAAGTGGAGAAAGTCTTCATTTCAAGGAATGGAAAAAATCTTCGAGTATTACTTTTGTTTTCCCACTGAAAATAGAAGTAAATGGGGAGAGAAGAAGTGCTTTACTTTTAAAAAAATTCATTTCAGTTGAAAATAAAAGATAATTTTCCTTTCTTTTATCTCCTTATGAACTCCCAAACAAGGGGAGGGGAAATGACTCTCTTTCCCATACTTCTCACTCCTACAACTCCAAAAAAAGGGAAATCCCATCACCTCCAAATTCTTCATGGATAATAACGTCCCTTTCCTCCCTTACCCTCCTAAACTCCCAAACAAATCATCAAGTTGCAGTTCAATTACCCGCTAACATGATGTTAGGGACAGCAGATCAGAGCCTGTTTCAACTAAGTAACACGGACACAATATGACCATAGTTATTAAAAGGCACGTCTAGACTCCATAAAAGACCCCGACTCGTTAAGGCTCAGCTAGATGCCTCAAACTAGTACTGGCCAGACCCATTCAATCAGACTCACATAATGCCCTAAAGCTCATGCTTTTAAGTAGGTACCAGGCCCAAAAAAAATTACTGTCTTTTTTATTTTAGTTATTTATTCATATTATTTTCCATTTTATTTATGACTATTAAATTAAAATATTCTATAACCATATTTAATGGATCATGTTGTTCAAGCGCATGAAATATTTAAATCTTTTTATATATTTTATGGTTCACTACTTGCATTTAGTGCTTGATTCTGAATATCTGTGAATTGTATGTTTAAAATTTGCACGATTATAGTTTGTAATTGTTCCAGATTTGTAATCACATTTAATTTGGTTAATGCATATGCATATGAAAGGATTTATGAACATTAATTTACCTAATACTCTTAGTTAATATATTAAAACCCATTTTTAGAGCTCTTTTTATTATTTGCGATGCATAACTTGAATTGTTCCAATTGCATATTTATTTTTATTGAATTCATATGTAAATATAAAATATCTATGTATGTTGATTTAGGTAATCCATTGAATTGATATGCTGAATTTTTTTTCTTATTTTGGTCTTTGGCAAGTTTGTCGTTGCATAAATTATTCTGTATTTACATATAATTAATACGCATTATTATCATACACGCCCCTTACTTCAAGGATCATTCGCGCCTTATATTGCGCTCCAAAAGACCTTTGGTGCCTTAGTGCTCCTTGAGCCTTTAATAATTATGAATATGACACACATAAACTGATTCGTCAAATCCTTGGAAAGTTGGACAAACGAAAAGTGGACACCACTAATAAATATAAATTTTCATTCATATGACTATCAAATAAGATAAATGTAAAAATTTGAGCTAAATTATAATTTCTTTATTAAAAGTTATGTAATTTAGAAGATCTAGATATCATCAAGATGTATTATAGATGCTACTACTCTCCTACCTTATCATTATGATTATATTTTTTTCGTATATGCCAAAGTGTCGTTGCATGCTGTGACATGTGCATATAATGGCAAAAAAATTATTTAAAAAAAAAAAAAAAAAAGTTTGGACACTGACATGTGTTCATAATATTATTTCCATGACTATTATATGTTTGTATTATATAAGACTTGTAGTGTGGGATGTGTAGTGTGGGATGTGTTGGTTGAGTGTTCGAAATGTGTAGACCAAGTGTCCAAAATAATCAAAATTATTTTTAAATTAAGAACATATCTTTGATGTGCCCGACATGTGTCAAGGAGTGTCCACCATTTGTTGGTGTCCGGCACTGTATCTGGCTAGGACACGACATCTTCCTAGAAGCGTTTTTGCTTCTTAGCATTCCAATATCTTTCAAAATATTTATCCCACTTTATTTCTTTAATATACCTTGCAGAAAACACTTAGACCCCAACAAAGCATCGTCTAGCTCACAAAGAAAAACTAAAATATCTAACCATGATCCGTTGGGAGGATTCAAAATACAAGCAATAGAACAAAATGCAATGTGGTACACGTATACTCGAGTAATATAATGAGTGATCTCCAATCTCTAAACCCATTTGTGCAATGCAAGGCCATGGTAGGCAATGATTTCAAAACAGGTGGAATTATAATAGTCATAATATGTGACTACAAGTTTTACCATATTCAAAAGATCTGCTTAGCATAATATTCCTGCTTTCCCTAGAGACCGCCTTAATTTTGAAATAGTGGTAAGTTAAAGCAAAACGATTGCCTAATGCTACCAAAAAATAGTGTACTTCCTCAATTCTTTGTCGAATCATGGACTCAATTAATTTCTATTGAACATCCAAAACCTCTATTAATCAAGTGACACTTACTTCACTTAGAAACTGAGATAAATGTAAAGTAATTTGACAAAAAAACAAATTCAATTAAAAAGAGAACGTAAGTAAACAAAATTCGTAATTAGATCACTCACTCTCAACTGAAGGGAAACGAATGCAAAAGAGCTCTTCCTTCAACTCTCCATCAGCAAAATCAGTTGCATGCCACACACAGGACTTATCATTCCCAGCATGCTCTTGTATCGAAATTGAAGCAAGCACTAAAACGCAAACAGCACATAATCAGTATATATATATCTGCACACATATATATTAGAACATGTTTGTATGTGTGTACACACACACATACAGAGAGAGAGGCGTACCAAGATGGTTGGCACAGATCTTAAGAGTCTTGGATTGCCGCATAACAAGTCTAACCTTACAGGTCTCCTTGTGTTTGAGAAGCTTCACAATACCGACACCTCTCTCTTTCCATTGGTTTCCCTCCTTGTCAAATCTATATAACTTCGCTTTCCTACAGTCACAACAAAGTTCTCGATAGTAAAATCTTAAACTAATCAACACGCAATAAGTAAGCCACGTTCATTCGCCGCTAATCCGAAGGAAAATGAAACAAAATTTCTTTTCTCTTCTACGATTTTCTCAAAAACTAAACAGATGCTATAAAAAAAATAATAATAATAAAAAGGGTAGGTTCTCTGAAATAGTTTTCCTTACAGATCGAGAAGGACGTCTTCGTCTTCTTCGCCGGTGGTGACAGCTACCTCTTGAAGCTGGATGATAGGATTGATCGGTGCTCCGGTGTCTTCGTCTTCGGCTGCTGTGGTCTCTGTAGCTGCTTCTTCTTCCTCCTTTCCGTGCTTTGATTCAGTAGTACTCGCCATGGAAGTGTAGAGCAAGTATTTTAGAGTGAGAGAGTTCTAGAAAGATGGATGGAGATACTTTCGGCGCTCTGTGAGAAGGAGAGAGAGGAATGGAGTTAGGGTTTAAGGGGTTGTAGAGTCAGGAGCGTTTTACATCTAATGGAACCATATGGTTGCATCTGAGCCGTCGATGCCTGGTGGACCCTACCAAAGAAATATTATATTGACAGCAAGGTTGTCATGAGGTGATCTCATGATAATTGCAATTAATTCTCTCTTGAGTAAAGTATTTTCATTTAAAAATAAATCTTTGTGGACCTAAGTCCCATAAATATGGTGCCGAATGAGAATGTAAGTGTGAAAGCGGTAAAATTTAAATTCGACAGAACGGAAGAAAAAACGCAAAGCTCGAACCAAAACGGCTCAGATCGTGAAAGCAGCATCGTTTAGAATAATTGTGTAACTTAGATGTGAATCATGTAATATCACGGTACTCATATTTAATCATGAAAAAATTGCACTTGAATCTATATTGGAGTCGTAAATAAAAAATTAGTCGATTTTAAAATTTTGATTTTCATGTTGGTTGAATTAAGTAAAATAATTATATATACACTAAAATCATTATTTAAGTCTACGATGCCCTCCCGTTCTTATTTCAAAATACTAAATTATTGTTTTTTTTTATATAAGTAAAAATTATTGTATTTTTTAAAATTAAATAATTATTTTCAAGCAAAAAAAAATAGGAACTTCACCAAATTATCCTTCTTATGGCATATGTTTCGTTGGGGAGAATGAAAAATAAGATTCGTGTAGTCGGTCTCAAGTATGACATTAATTATAATCCATGTTTACTACCTATTATATAGCCTCCGACTACTTTCGATTGTTACATCGGTATCGCGAGGGAGGGGCCATGGCCCCCCAAACATTTTAAATCCCCCCCTCCCCCCAAAACAATTTTTTCAAAACAATTCCATATTGACCCAAAATAGAGAGTTCGAAAATTAGACCCAAAATAGAGAGTTCAAAAATAAATTTAGTATGTGTCTTCTTGAAATTTAAAAAAAATAAAAAATTACACTTGAACTCTTTTAACTATTCTTTTAAAAGCTCGAATATTGTGAAAAAAGTCATTGTTATTATAGTTGTTATTGTAACACATTACACATATACAATGTCTATAATATTAATTCAAGAGAGAGAGAGAAAAAAAAAAAAAAAAAAATTCAAGCATTTTTCGTCAAACATTTTTGCACAATGATATCTACAAGAAAAATATCCAGAATTATATAATAATCTTTATTGACATAATGTTTAATTTAAAATTATTTTGTTTAGTTAAAATTCATTATTTTTTTCTAATATTTCATCTAGGTATATCTTTGCCAAGTGAAATCAAAGTAATCAAAAAATTTCTTCCAAAAATCATATTTTGAAAAACTAAAACAATTGATGAAGAAAATTTGATCTCCGACAATACTTATTTTTGTACATCTTTTCTTTTTAATTGTAACTCATCATTTTTTTTTTATATTTTCCTTTCTAATATCAATTTTTCGTCTATTATTAACTTGTATTTTTCTCATTTTTTTAAATTTCTCAAATTATATATAGTATGACTAGTATTTATAAAAAAACATATTATAATATCTGTAATGGGGTTGGCGGACCCTATTCACGCAGACACAAATAGAGGAGAGAGAGATCTCGACTAATAAAGGAAGAGAGAAATCGAAAGAGAGAGAGAGTTGGCCAAGGAGAAGGCTGCACCAGAGAGGAAGGACGAGGGCTGTTCGTGGGTTAGACTAAGAGCAACAGAGGGCAGCAAGAGCAACCAAAGGTCACCGGAAAACAGAAAGTAGATCGAAAAAGAAGAAGATAAGGTTTTCAATCCGAAACCTTGAGGCAAGTTCTTCTTCTAACTCTTCTCATTTGACCATGTGTTCTATACATGTCTAGGTTAATTCCAGGATGATTAAACATAATTAATGAATCACTTTGCATGATAAAAGTCGGTCTAGAACAATGTATGATTGTATGGTTATGGGTTTGTATGTAACTTGCCTGATTTGATGATTTAATGCATGAATTGTGTTTTAAATTGTTGTAATCATGTTTAAAGGCTTTAACATAATTATTGGGACACTCTAGAATGTAGAATTGAAGGTTAGGACCCTTAACCATGGAGGTTGGACGAAAAACAGAGGTTGGAGACAGAGAAGACGACTCGTAGTCATAACGAGTCGACTCAGTTGGAAACTGAGTCAACTTGGTTGGTGAAGAAGCCAATGAATCGACTCAATTAGCTACTAAGCCGACTCATTCTGGAATGAGTCGTCTTAGTTAGCCTGGGACTTGGATTTTCGGGTTTTGAGTTTTAATGTTACTGTACGATATTTTAAATCAAATTTAATGGTTTAAATGGACATGATTAATTTCAAGAATGCATAATATACATTAATATGCTAAGGATTTGGATAATATGGGATTTTAAATAACTTCTAAATTGTTTATGGATGATTATATGGATTTAAATTGTTTAACAATTACAAAAGATTATTTAAATGATTTTAATCTTGACTTTGGAGGTTTATATAATTTAATTGAGGTGTAGATTAAGTACTTGTTATGTAAGTTAACTGCATGTTATTTAAATTATTTATATTGTTTAAACAAATACAATTGATATCTATATGATTTATATTATGTTTATTTCTGGATTATTTGATGTATACACACGTTTGCATTATTGTGTGAATTGGAAACTATTATTTGGTTATGGTTATGGATTAATGTACCATTATCAGGATATGGGAGCATATTATGGATGGACTGGCTATTAAGTTAAGTCTCATCTATTTGTGTCAGGTCACGGAATCATATGGATGACATGCCATTAAAAGATTATAACGGATAGTTTTTTTTTTTATGTTTTGGATATGATATGGAATTTTTATATATGGATACGTGCCACTATATGAGCTCGAGTTATCAGGATCAGTGGTTAAGGAGCGTATTGTGAGCACTTGCATTTTTATCATTTTTCTACTCATTTCGATATTCATGCATTTTTATTTTATTGCTGGAAATTATGATTTAAGTTACAAATGTGTTTAGTTTAGTAAAACGTCATTTGTTTATTTCATAAAGGGCATTATGGACTTTTTGCTTTACAAATAGTATCTATGGTATTTGATTATTTTATACAAGGTAAAGTAGACTTTTAGTAGGCACATGGCATAATTGGCATTTAGAAATAATGGAAGGACTTTTTGGTCATTTTGTTTGGTCTTGCATTTGACTAATTGTGAGCTTGACACATGGGGGTTCACATGGCCACATATTGTGTGTGTGTGTGTGTGATGACATATAGCATTACAATTGAATGGGATAGACACAAAACACAATATGCAGAATGTCATTTTTCGCCCATTTTGTTCTCCTTCATAGTAGTCTTCTTTACATGATAGTTTGAAGCTTTTGTGTTGGGAGTTTGAAAAGGGTTTGTGAATGAAAAGTATAGTTGATGTCTTGGTCTTCATTTTGGTAGCAAAGTTGCAATCATTTCTTCACTGCTGGGATTTAAAAATATGATTTGAAAAGGGAAGGGTTGGTTGAATTTCAAAAGGTGTTCTTCATATTTTTGCAAAATTGGTAGTTTACTTTGGATTGCTTTAAATTATTGGTAGCCGGGTTTTTAAGATGCTAAGAGGTAGGATTGTCTAACCCTCAATTCATTTGCATTTAGTGAGTTAATTTCTTTCAAGTTTTGAGTTGCAAAGTGTATACAAATAAAACAGAAATTATGTGCTGCTGAAACTTAATTACATACTACTGTTTTGCTCAATTCATGTAAATTCGTAATTTATCTTTTAGAGATGATTTGATATTATGATAATATAGTTAATTAGCTTTCATTGAGAATTGGTTTCATTAAAATTGGTTGAGAAATGAATTTATTACGAATTTTTGAATTTATAGTGTTTTTGCTGGAAATTCTGGGTTGGGGGTAGATTTTGTCCGAGTTTTTCTCATTAAACCTGATTTAAATGGTAAGAGATTTTGGTGAAGTAAGCTTTTATAGTCTTTAAACTTTAAATGGGCTTTGGATTCACTTAATTTGGATGAGAATTGAATTTATTATGATTTTTCAAAATTGGAAGCAACAGGCTGGAAATCAATTTTCTGGGCAGAATTTATTTCGAAATTTTGGGTCAAAACTGTTTCAATTGGGAAGGGATTTTGTAAAACTAAATTAACACTTTCAAAGTACATTGTTTAAGCTTTTATTAGGCTTTGGAATCACTCAATTTGACATAAAATTAAAATTATTATGAATTTTCAAAGATGGAGGTAATAAGCTGCGTATGAATTGTTAACAACTAGTAGGGGTTGTTTTAACACTCACACCATTAGTTTCCTTGTGAATTAAATCCTTTAAATTGAACCATTATATGACTTGAATTAGACTTTCTTTACAAACATGTTGTGTAATTAAAATCTGAAATTTTGTAGCTTAGACAGAAATAATGCGTTATTTGTTTTAAATATGGAATTTGAGCTCTTAAAATGTTGTTGATGTTTATGTGCCTAAAAATTGAAATTATAGTAATCACAATGGTTGTATTGTTATTGTTTGACAAGCTGAAAATTATATATTTAGTTCACTTCAATCATGAGCTGTTTTGTTATAAGTTTGGTGTTGTAATAATGTTCAAAAAACTGAATGATACATTATCCTTGAAACATATTACCATGATAAATTTGCTGCCAAAGTGTGTCCATAGAATTTTTATATGTTTTCTATGTCTAATAACTTCTATTTTGAATAGATTAGATGACAACACGCTTGTGTTGATTTCTTGAAGGCTGTGATAGTATGTCATTGTGAAGCTCGCTGCCATGATAAATTTGTTGCCAAAATATGTTTGTAGAATTGGATTTTGATGTGAGTAATGATATGGTATTATAATATTGTGAAGCATGTGCATGCATCCATAGCATTGGGCATGAAATAAAAGGGAAAAGTGTTTTGAAATGAAAGCGAAATGGATTTTTGGGAGAAGAAATTTTGATAAAATGGTTTTTATGAAAACCCGGACGTCGCGGGGGTACCAACGGTCCGTGGAG